TTTTGGGCTTGGAAATTTGGGAAAAAAAGGGTGGCTTATACATGAGGAAATACGGTACTTTCATGCATCTTTTAATAAAAAACGAATCTGCTCTTAACCTAGTGCCCAGAGTAGATTGAGCCTGCGTTCCGACAGATTGTGCTTTTACGTACCCTGAATGATGAGAGTGACTGCTTTTCTCATTCTATTGATGGTGAAACGGTGTAAATGGTGAAAAATGAAAATGTCCAAAGATCATTAATTTTCTTCCGATACTAGAACGAATTAGCATTAACACGAGGCACAGAGAGTTGTTTGCGAGAAACTGTGTGTGAGCAGAGGAAAGCAATTTTAATGCAAAACTTTGTGCTTTCCATGAGCTTCAAGCAAGCCAGCCCGTCTCCAGGTCGCTCCGCCTCCTTTTGAACCGTTAGGCAAGAAAGCACTGCATGGACTCAACCTGGTGGCCAAGTCAGGCCAACAAGTGTCCATGCCGTGGTTACATGATTGATGCTGTTGCAAAGGTCTCGCAGGGGTCGATGCCACAGAGGCTCATGGGGTGGGGCGCCGTCCGCGACTACCTCGTCACCTTGCTTCCCCATGCATAAGACCGACAGACCCTAAAGTCGCTGGCCGCCTCCGCGATCAAGTGTGTTGCCTAGCCGACCCGCATGCATGCATCTGCGCGTGTGCACGCCCACATAGTGTTTGTGCACATGCCGGTACCTCGGTCCGTATATCTGCATGTGTTGGACTCAGCCTTCCCCCATACCGACTGGCCTCGTTGGCTCGTACGGATGCGGGTGTGTTTCCTGTCCGCAATGGAAGAAGTGTAATAGGAGGGCACCAGTCGGTACTTGACGGGTCTTATTCAACGCTGAAGTTTTCTGACCACAGCCCATGCGACTAGCGAGGTTGTAAATAGGTTTATGAAGTAGCCTGCCTATACATCTCAATTCGATAACTACCTATTAGACAAAGAGTCTGAAATGCATTGCCTCATCCATCGGGCCCAACCGAATCAGAGGAGGCTCATCTGCCACAATTCTGTTGAACAATGGCGTGGCAGACAGACAATGAGTCAAACAACTGAGTGCATGTGCCCGAAGGTGTATATGCATTACGTGAGGCGTCTTACTGAAAAGAGAGCTTGGCTGATATGGCGTGGTTGCTCAATCTTATGTGGTGCCATCCCGAATTACGGGCGGAAGTGTGGCTAGCTGGAATTCTCGAACAATTTTATCTGAAACCGCTGACCCCATCCGCGATGAAATGAATAGGGTAGGCTAATTTGTCACAATGAGTCTCCTCTCATATAACCTAAAAGCATTGACTATAGGAGCCGAATCCTTAAACAATGATGCCTCGTCCTCCTAACCGGTACCTCTAAAGCTCGAATCCCGCTCGGCGTGCTGATGAGACGACAGGTCAAAGTCGAACTTAGAGTCTAGCCAAAATGAGACCAACTTTTGAGGAAACATGATTAAGCGGAGATCATAGCGAAAAAAACAAGTCTTCCACTGAAACCCTGGTGGTAATCCGAGGTCATTAAAGCAATTTAAACTGTCAATTACCATAAGAAGTGTTTCGACGCCTGCTTTATAAGAATATAAGTAGATTAGCCGAGATTAATGGGAGAATACAATTTTATTTGATGTATTCACTCTATTTTGTTTAAGCTTATGAAGGACCAGTGGTTAAATTTTCCTACAATGATAAAAGGATGCCTCACATTTCCAATGAATATCACATGACCTTACTTCTAAAAGGCTTTATTACAGTTAGGAACTCGCCTAGGTCTCAGCTATAACCTCAGAGGGACTCGAACCCTGGTAATGCAGTATATACTCTCTACACGTTAATCCTCATCCACAAAAGTCACGAGTGTTGTTGGGTCGCAGGGCGGATAAGACTTTCAAAGAGGGTTCAGGCATTTATATTTTCCTTTCTGTGGTGGGGTTGTAGATGAAGCAAATTTGCATTCGCTACAGAAATCTACTTGATTACTTGCTCAGCTTTAAAGATTATCACTAGATTATATATATAACTTTTAGAAAAATGCTACGTAACTGGATGCTAAAAAGGGGCAAAGTTAGCGAAAATTTTGCGAATTCGGAGAACTAGCAAACTTAGTAAGACCATCAAATATGAGGCAATCGAGTGAGGGTTCAAGTATTGATGCAGCAAACTATCATAGAAGAGGACATCGGACAAGCAAGGTTTTTCTAGGTTACCGTGACAACACAACCACGCTTCAAAAACGCGATCAGAGCAATTCCATAAAGTAAAAACAGCCCTAGGCTAAACTAGAGGCTACACCATCTTAGCCTTCAAGGCTATACGCGCTATGATT